ATGTTTCTTTATCACAACAACAATGTAAAACCAAGTTGTCGATGTTTCTTTATCACAACAACAATGTAAAACCAAATTGTTGATATTTCTTTATCACAGCAATAATGTAAACCAAATTGTCGATGTTTCTTTATCAAAATGATGCAGCGTTAGGCTCATGTATAAATGTTAGAAAAGTTTACTACAGTGTAGCTTTGGCCGTAATATGACATTTGTTTGTTTTGTTGGTCTTTTTTTCGAAAATAAACTCGGGTCGGCCTTTGGCCGTGCGTTATATTCGTAAAATATATGTATTCCATATAGTCTATATAAATTTTAAAATTTTATCATATCATTAAGAGTTCCTTGTTTTGTTTTCTAACATTGAAATTTAATTGTAATCTACTCATATTCAGATGTGTCATAGGGGCGTCCGCCTCCCTCAGGCTTGGAAGGGGGCTCAAAATATCAGTTTCCGTGAAAAATTTCTATTGAGGTTAGGGTAATACATATACTCAAATTACTCCATAACTTAAAGCCCACAGCTAAATTGGGAGCCCCACGCGAGGTCACTATTCTTTGCCCCCGCCCCCACAAGCCTCTTGTAAGATGACACTTCTCCCGATATTTTTTTTCAATATTCCGAGTGAATCAAAACGATTGAACATGTTGTTGTTTGTAGTTATGCACAATGGGCTATCTGTGCTCTGCCCACCACGGGTATCGATACCCGGTTTTTAGCGTTGTGCCACTGGGGGGCACGACTGAACAAATCACATAAAGATATCGAACTATGATGTAAAGATCCACTTTATCATTTTTTGGATACACGAACACAATTCTTTCCCTAAATACGTTGTTTTTTTTATTTCCAAATTTCTACAACTTAAATAAACAGTATTATTTTCACGGTCTTTTTAGAACCTATTATATCTTTAAGAAAGATGGAAAAAAATATATGGGCTAAAAAAAAATAATACCAGTAACTTTAATGGTGTGACTTTTAGCCTGCCCGATACGGGTTCTTTCTAAGAGGAGCGCATAATAACAACTTAAGTTATATTGCGAGTTGTACTGCTCTTTCGAAGAACTAATCAGGGTTATCACCCCACCCCCACCCCTCCATTAACGCCGATCGTGGTGTGCAGTTTTCCTACCCTTAGACATGCTTTTTTAATATTATAATTGTTTATCATTTTTAAGCTAATACGATAATTGTATCGTTTCTGTGGTCGGAAAACAATATATATATATATGTCATAACAATAAGCACTCCCTAAAAATTTTAAAGATATTCTGCCTCTGGCCCGAAATGACCA